TTGAAAGGATTAATAAATATTCTTATATTTAAGTATATTTTCTTTTTGCAGGACGTCAAATTCCATTAGTACAACAATATTTAGTAGTGATTTGTCTTTGTATTCTATTATTGATTATGGTTGGAGCTGGTTCAGCAATATTTTGGATACTTGGTAATTAAAATGAAGACAAACAAAGAGAGAATATTATAATAATTGATTTTCTATATATATATAGGTGCCTCTGTATTTGTTATTGTTCTTCATGCAATTCTTCATCAAACACCAAATCAAGATGCATTTGGTTTACAAATGCAAGAAGTTTAAAATTGAACAATTAATCTCAGAAAACTCATTTGTGATATTTTAATCTGCACTTAATTTTATGTAAAATTTTTCTTCTATACATAAAATTTGTTCGTTTTTTCTTTTTGTTCTCTAAATAATACTAATAAGACAATAAATAGATATTTATCTGACTAATATAAAATATTCTCTATTTTAGATATGGCACCATCATCGAATTATATAATTGAAGTTCGAATAGATGTTTTGAAAGCATTGAAAATTTTTGGATTAACAGCAACTGCATTAACAGCTGTTGGTCTTGGTGCATATTATATTCATCAACGTATACAACGCTCTAAACGTGTTATACTTCGTGATGAAGTTAAAAATGTTCTTGAACCATTTCAATTATCAGATGAACAACTTCGTCGTGTTATGGCTAATTTAAATATAGAAATGACCAATGGTTTAAAATCAGATGGAGATTTAGATAAAAATGATTTAGCTATGTTTCCAACATATGTTCATCGTGGACCAAATGGTCTCGAAACAGGAGAATATTTAGTTGTTGATTTAGGTGGTTCAAATTTTCGTGTTTCACATGTTCTTATTGAAGGACGAAATCGAATATATTTAAAAAATAAAATATTTCTTATACCACATTCATTATTATTAGGTGAAGGTGAAAAATTATTTGATTATATTGCTGAATGTTTACAAAGATTTATTGATGATAATAAATTAGCTGCAAATAAACCCGCTGATTACATATTTGATTTAGGTAAAATCATTTTTTTATATGATTATTTAGAATCGAAAGAAAGACAAGTCTCATATTGAGGTTTTCTCTGTTCAATTATCCTCTATAAAAAGAGTTCATGTTCATAGATTGTTTCTTAGGTGATCAAACACATGCAATGAACCTTTACTGTATGTTCTCATATTTGCTAGAAGAGCATATTTTCGAATTTCGATCTGCAACATTGCCAATATGAAGATCTATTCTTTCCTATAGGCACAATATACAGCTTATCTTTTTTTGAAAGTTGTGAGATTTAACTTAAGAGTTCTGAAATTTGACATACGAAGTAGCTTAATGAAATTTATTCACAACGTTCGATCTCCTAAGAAAGAAGTTATGTACATGCGAACTCTTTTAATAAATGACATAGTTTACTAAACCTTACAAGATGCACAGAGTCGTGATTCGAAGGTAAATAGAAACCTGGAAATATTTTCAAGTCGCCAATTGTTTTCTTACTGAAAACTAGTGAGTTATGAGTTATCAGCCATTCTAATTATGTCCATTAGAAATTCTGTTAGAGTTTTATATGCTGGTTTTTCAGACTATAAAAATTTTCGCCAAATTTTTTTTTGATCTCTTAGTAAGTAACTCATAATCATATGATATAGTAATAACCGACAAGCATTTTCGAATATTGAGCAAATTAGATAGGCAATAGTGAAGTAGAGATTGTATCACCATGATGTTTGGTTACGGTCATGCCACACATGGTTACAATCAGAAAGGTAAAAGTAATTTGTGATAGGGTGAGTGAGTCATATGTGGTATTTTTCCCTTCTTCTATTCTTTGGAGATAGTATTGATGTTGTTTTACATTATTCTTATTTTTTTTCAAGTGTCTTAGACTGTTTTTTTAGTTTGTTCATCTATAAATAGTTATCATTTATTAGAAAATAAAAGAGATTATTATAATCGATCAATTAGATCGAAATCACCCGTTGACATAATTTTTCATGTTTACACACATAAAATACAAATATTGTTCTTTAATGACTTGTACAATTTTTTCTTGATATTTGTCTCTTTCGATACCAATCATCACTAATTAGTCAGTTAACATAGCTTTTTTTCGATTTTATTTTTTTTTGATAAAAGACACCTGTTATCTTTTTTTATATCTCAACAGACGATTTAAAACCTCATTTTATTATGTTTATTTCTAAGTAAACATATATACTATGAGAGTTTAACTGAGTTCGAATTCGAAAATATTGAACCCGATGACTTTTAAAATACTGTCGAAAATAAGTTAGAATATTCTTTCAAGTCCAAAAGGATTCTACATAAAACTGTTCTATTACAAATCTATGTGATTTTTAGTGACATCTAGTTATAATAATCACGGTTCCGCATGACCGATGTCCAAACATTTTTAGTTTAGATAATGATTGTCTCTTTTCGTAAAATTTAACTTTCGGATTATTGTCAGAAAAGTAAATTCGAAGTTATCTCTTGAAACAATACTCGTTAATAATTTAAATAATCTCCATCCTTGATCTTCTAAATATATCATGTAACTTAATCCGAAGGAAAAAAGAGTGTGTAAAAGTTTAAGTGAATTCAATATATCTTGATTAACAAAACATTCCTTTTTTTTTTGCTTTTATCATTTCAGCTTTTACATTCAGTTTTCCATGTAGACAAACAAGTCTAAGTCAAGCAACATTAGTATCATGGACAAAAGGTTTTAGTTGTACTGGTGTTGTTGGTCACGATGTTGTACTTTTGTTACAACATGCAATTGATCGACGAAAGGTAATTGAAAAACAAAAGTCATTTTCATATGATTATATCAGAGAAAGAATTTTTAGAGTTTGAAAATTCAAGTTGTGGCTTTAGTCAACGATACAGTGGGTACATTAATGGCATGTAGTTCAATATATCGTGATTGTAAAATTGGTGTTATTCTTGGAACAGGTAAATAAAAATTATTTGTTTTGAAATAATTTTTTCTTGATATAATTTATTAGGAACAAATGCATGCTATTTTGAAAATCTTGATAATGTACCTAAATGGACAGGTGTACGAGATCAAACAACAAAACAAGTTATTATCAGTACTGAATGGGGTGCTCTTGGCAAAGTGAGTATTGAAATTGATTTTGATTCTGTACTACAAGATTACTTTTCTGAATAAGTTCTTGTACCATTGAATGGAAGCCAAAAAGCTGGCTTTGGAGATCTATGTTTTCCACAGATTCTCATCTTAGCAGTCTTCTTGAAGCTTTCGAAATGATCAATCTTGATAAAGAATCTTTTCAGCTACACCAATGTTTATTCAGATTCTTGCTAGCTATTACCATTGAGAAGAAAACTTAACAATACAACTACTCTAAACTTTCCTTTGCCTTTATATTATACATGTGTGTATGAGTATACTTGCCTATCATTTTTGTTTTCAGAAAGGAAAAAAAACTGAACCGAAACTACTATATGTTGTATATGTATGCAAGAGAATGAGATGAAAGAGGATAACATTATGTATAGTGAACACGGCAGCATGTGACATCACATTGTAATATAAGTTAATTGAAATATTTAATAAAATTTCTTTAGCATGGTTGTCTTGATTTTATTCGAACAAGTGTTGATCATGAACTTGATGAATCAAGTTTAACTCCGAATCAACAAATATTTGAAAAAATGATTTCCGGTAAAAATACAAAAAAAACAAAAAAAATTTAATGAAATGAAACCAAGTTCTTTTCTTTATTTTTAGCTCTTTATCTCGGTGAAATCGTTCGTTTGATTATTGTTGATTTAGTTCAACGATCAATACTTTTACCAGGTCGTATGCAAAAATCACCAAGTCTTGGACGCGATTATAATATTTTTCTCAGTCTACGAGGTAGATCAATAGAAAAGAATATATTAATAAATCATTCTTAATTTATTCATAGGAAGTTTTTATGCAAAACATGTTGACGATATTGAATGTGATACAAGTAAATAAAAAAAAGGAATATTTATGTATTAATATAAAAAAAGTCATTCTATTATAGCGGAGGATCTATCTATAACTTCATCCATTCTCACTTCAATCGGTATTCAAGAACCATCATATGATGATTGTTATATTATTCGTGAAGTTTGCAAAACAGTATCACTTCGAGCAGCCAAATTGGCTGCAGCAGGTAAAAAAAACTTGTTATTTAAGATTTTTTTTTGTATCTGATAGCTAAGTATTGATTAGAAAGATAAAATATGATCTATTTTTACCTTCAGTTTAATCTATATTCTTTTTTTTTCATTTTTGTTACACACAAAAATTATCGAGCTATATATATATATATAATTTAATAAATTCATCATGTAACTAAGAATATTTTACTTTCTTATAGCTATTGCTGTTCTGGTTAATCGTGTTAATTTGCCTTCAGTAACAGTAGGTATTGATGGTACACTTTTTCGTCATCATGGAAAATTCAAAAAAAATCTCACTCGTACAATAAGTCGACTTGTGCCACGAACTGTAAGTGTTAATTAATCAAATTGATTAATTTTATTTTATTTTATTTTTTTATTTATTTTTAGCATCGTTTGGTTCTTTCTGAAGATGGTTCATCAAAAGGTTCAGCTTTAGTAGCAGCTGTTCATCGACATATGAACGAAACAGTTACATCCTCATAATCTAATCAAAATACTACCCTCTCTATGTTCTTTTCTTTCCTTTTCTTTTCTCTTTTTTTTGCATGAATTATCATTAGGTAGATCGACATTTAAGCATTTTTCCTAGTCATTTTATTATACAAAAAAAATCTTTCTTGTCTTGTTATTCAATTTAGCTGATTCTTATGATAGGTCTGTTTTATTCTGCTTCCTAGATATTTAGTAATATCTGTTTTAGTTTTTTATTCAAGTAACGAAGAAAGAAAAAAAAAACACCAAGAAACATTTTAATCTGTTATTTCTAGATTTATATGTTCGAATGGACGGTCTTTATTTGCCCGATGGGCGTCAGCTCGCATTAATTGATCGTGACTGGATTCTTGACGAATTACCACATTTAGGAAATCCAGACGATAATTCCGACGCAAATTATTTACTTGCATCAGCAGCAGCAGCAACTAGTGGCACAGGTGTTACAACAGGTAGTTCAGCAGGTCGTGGTACAACTGGTATCGGAACTGGAGGTGGTGGTTCATCACACGCTGTACCTAATCATACAGGTGGAGGATCAATTGGTGCAGATAGTACAGGGGCAAATCATCACGGTACAAGTGCTAATCATAATCATAGTTTATTATATAATCCTGACGAATTTGAAGGTGATTTAACATTACTTTCGGAAATAGTTGACGAAACACAAAATAAGTGGTCGGATTTTGGACTCAATCAATTACTGACACCATACGCACGTTCAATTCGACCTGCGTTTAAGTAGATTTTTAAAAGAAATCAATTTTTCCTTGTTATATATAACTCCAATACATGGCTCATATTAATGTTTATTTTCTTCGTATAAGACGATATTTTCTTCGATATAGTCTTTATTGTAGTCGACGACCGAGATTAAATCGTATTATAAAAATTCTCTCTATTATTATTATTGGTTTTCTTTTTATGACTCTTATTAATGGTGTTCTTTTTTCAAGTGTTCTATTTCTACAAGAAAATCCTAATGAACCTGATTATGATCTTGATACACGACCATATTATAAAACAATTGAAATGAAAAAACGTTTCGATGATTCAGGAAATTATTTAATTATACAAAATTTTGTGCAATATCAAACAAATTTAAGTAAAAATGCTGATTTAATTGCTTTAAATTTACATACTGATATTGAACAACTTCATTTATTATTACAACATGCCAAAGTTTGGGATGGACCAATATCATTAAGTTTATATGTTAAAGGTGCTCGAGGTAGTGATGATATTGATTATGCATCAATATGGCTTCGATGTAATCGACGATCATTTAAAGTACTCAATGTTCATCTTGTTATTTCAGCCAAAGCATATAAAAGTAAGAAATTATAGAAATTTTTTTATTATTAATATTGTTTATAAAATGACTGAAAATAGATACTTATATCCTATATGGATCAAAGATATATAGAGACATCGATCATAGCAATTAGGAGTCTATCAAAGATACTGAAGAGATAAATATTTTCCAATATCGGACTGTATCTCTACAAACAAGTAAAGACAAATAATTACAACAGTATTTTTTTTAAATAATAATGTAAGAGAACTTGCTTCGGAAAAAAAAGACGTTCCGAATAAACTATAGCATTAATTAAAAAAATCTTTATTATGAATATTTCCTTTCAATACACCAACGAAATATAAATATTATTTGCTGTGAGTTTATGAATTAAAAGCTTCAACACTATGTATGTTTGCGAAGTATCGCAGTTAAAATCTATAATTTCTAAATACAGAAAAATCTCCTATAGTGAACACTTTGCGATTCGAGGAAGTAATTTTTGTTGGAAACAAAACTCTTTGCAGTAGACACCATCATATAGTTCTATGGAGGACTATGTTGAAAAATTCGAATGATCAAGTCCATTGAATTCAAAATTTCCGAACCCGATTGGGTCCTAAACCAATACGATGGACTCTACCAAAGAGTATCCATTATAGATTGCTTAAATTGTACTATTTTTTAAAAATCTCAATTCGATTTCAAACTTAATTTAGGTTCCATATCAAATCAGCATAATTCTCATAGTGTCAAATATGCTGTCAGTTGTCAACATATAACATATGTTAATCATACTGATGAAACAGATTCTACTCCATATCCATCAAATCTTCTTCGTAATGTGGCTCGTAATGGCAATATACTTCCATCTGTAAAATATATTCTTACACTTGATATTGATATATTTCCATCAGCTGATCTTTTTCATCATCTTGTATCATTTTATACGAAAAAAACAAATACAAATGAAATATTTAATCGTACGTTATATGTTATTCCAGCATTTGAAATTCATATTAATACAATAAAACGTTCTATAGCATTACCACAAAATAAACGTGAATTAATATTATTATGGAATGATGAACAAATTCAACCATTTCAAAAAGATATTTGTTCATCATGTCAATTTTTAACAAATTATAAAGCATGGAAAGAAGAAACAAAAAGTGATGAAATTCTACCAATATTTCGACCACATTATTCACAACCATGGAAACCATATTATGTTGGACCTATAGATGTACCTATGTTTGATTCACGTTTTAAAGCACATGCACATGCAAGAATAAGTCAAGTACGTAAGAAACAAAACAAAAAAAAATTTTTCCTATTTTTATAAAAACCTTTTTTTTTTATTTTAGTGTTGCGAAAGTTTTATGGCTGGTTATGATTTTGCTGTATTAAATAATGTTTATGTTTATCGATTAGGTTTTCTTGATAAATCTCAATTACCAAATACGAAATTAATTGAAGATGATACATCATTATTACTTTTTCAACAATTTCAAGAAGATCTATTAAAACGTTATTCAAATACAACAAGAAAATGTTGATAATTTATCTATATGAATGTATTTTTTCTTTTCTTTTTTTTTTGTTGTTGTTGGTTCTTTAGTATATAAATACATCTATGATTGGTAGGGGAAAAAAATATCTTAAATAAAAACATTATCATTTGTAGATATGCACGGAAGACAAACAGTTTCATCTATATATACAGATGATGAAAATGATCCGATGATTCTTAGCCCACCAATATCAATGAAAAATCGTCTTCGAAATTTTTTTGGTATACCGAAACCAATAGATAATGATGATTGTTTGTGGTGTATGTTAATCATATACAAAAAAAAACAAAGTCTTTTCCGAACTCATTTAATTATTTTAGCGGCAAATACACTTCTATGTGCCATTGTCTTTCTCGAAGATGCTATTAACTATCAATCAATAGTACATAAAGTCACAAAGAATTATTTATTAGTTTATCGATGGTTTTCAAGTTCATTAGTTAAAAAGTAATAAACCTAGCTTGAATGATTGTATAGTTAATATATTAATATTAATCACACAGATTGCATCGTATTGCTCTAACAATTAATCTTTGTTTGGCTTTGTTTGAACGACCATCATCATTTAGTATAACATCAGATGTGCGTGATAAACCTAATCGGATTGTTTTTCCATACTCATTATTAATGACCATTGAGGGTTTAACGCTCATTTGGTTTCTTGTTTATATTTGTACGAAAGTAAGAAATCAAATTGCTAATTCTCGTTTTTTTTTCGATAAAATTTAAGATCAATAGATTGCTTGTCTTGGTATAAAATCTGCTCGAAAACGTTTTTGGCTTATTGCTTTTTTTATTGTAACGATTTATTCTTTATGTGAATGGTTTGTTATGATTGCAATAATTAGTCATGCATATAATGGTGTATGTAATAGAAGATTATCAATTGATTTTTGAAAATAAATATAAATATTTAGGTTCGTCTTCGACGTATTTTTCGTCCTTTATTTATGATTGAATCATCTCAATTGATGAAAAAAGCTTTAAAAGCTGTACAAAAAGATTTATTAACTATTATTGCGTAAGAAAATTACAGAGAACAAAAATTATTATGTCTTGTTATTTATAGTTGTGTTTCAATGGCACTTGCACATATTCTTTTTTTTGCTATTATTGCTATGTTTCTCTTTCCTCGATCAAAGGTATTTATCGTTTTTTTTGTATAAAGGAGGATCCCAACGGATTCAGTGATCAATCTTGAATCAGACTACCATAGGCATGGCTTGGTAGAACAATTTCTGGTGCACCGAAGGGTATATTCGAAATCAAGTTCTTGTTAAATTTCGATGTGATGACAGTCAATATACTGGTTATAATCCTACAGGAATACATATGGTACTCATAGATATAGTGACATCTAAGATAAATTTATGCACATTTTGTTTTTAAACGTAATTTGATACAGTTATAGGTGATCTTCAAATTTCTATAATGTATAGTTCTCATCGTAGCATATGTTCATGACTAAAAGCAGCCCCTTCTCTTATGTTCAGATCATCGCTTATCTATGGAGCTGAAATGTTGACAGTACTTTAACAATATTCAATGATATTATTAAAAATACTTTATGTATCAATAATCAGCAAAGAATTGCTGATGAACTAATATAGATAACTCTTTTATAAACGGAAATACGATTGCAGAAATGAAGCCTGCTATTTTAATTATTTCTTTCTTTTCATTTTTATTTTGCACATCACATTTGAGCTATGCATGAAATTCTAGAAGAATCGTCTGTATCCTCTTTCAGACATCTGGGAACCAGAAATCTTTTCTGTTTATAAAGAATTTATTTATATCAGTTCATCAGAGAGATTCTGTGTTGGTTATGTGTACATAAAAATGTTTAATAGGACCGTTGAGTATTGTTAAAATATCGTCAATAAACCGGTCCCTTGATATAGGAAAATAGGCTATTCTAGAAAACAATCTTGCAAGTTGACAATGAATTCTAGCTGTTCCGAAAGATCTTATTTGTAAAACATATAGAGCTCAATAGTGTACACTTTTTGCGAAAAGTTTTACTTTGGAAACTATGTTTTAGTCACGAAAAAAGCAACAATGACAACGGTTGATTATAGAAAATTGAAGTGCACCTATAATTGTCTCGACTTGAGTTTAAAAACAAAATGTACATCAATTTATCTTAGATGCCACAATGTCTACGTGTACCATATATTTGCTCAAGAATTATGATCAGTATTTGATCTCTCAACACGTCAAAATTTGAGGAAAATTTGATTTCTAATATATGATCGAATGCTTCAAAAATTGAGTCATAAAACCACATATATGATATCTTGATTCAAGACAGATCCCTGAATCTGGTATAGCCCTTTCGTATAAATTCTCTTTGTCTTTTTTTGTCTAGGAGGTAAACAATAGTCAAGGCAGTACTTACTTTTCTAGTTTACATGATTCAGTCTTTCAATTACTTGTGCTTTATTCAACAGCTAATAATCCAGATGTAATGATGCCAGGTAATATTAATTTTTGTATGAAATTAGAAATAATTATTTTTGATTTATATTTATAGCTTATTCAGATAATCGATTGAATGTTTTATTCTTTCTCGTTTTTGTTATTATTGGTAACATGTACGACAAATGATAATAAACAATGAAATTTTGTTTTATTTGTTTACTTAATTTAGGCATTTATTGGATACAAAATATAATAACTGCTGTAGTTTATCGAGCTTTTCGAGGATATTTTTTAAATTCTATTATTAATTCACAATTACGACGACGTGTAGCTATAAGGGCTTCATTTGAAGTTTTAAAAAAACGAATATTAAATGGAGAATCGAATGAGAATACGTACGTATTAACTTCTACAAAATAGATTTCTATATTTGTGAAAATAAAAACATTTTCTTCATATTGTTGTTTTTCAAAATTATAGTAAATAAACTTAAAACATATTTGAATTTTTGTTCTTTTAATTACAGAAATATGGTACCAATATCTGTTGTTCAAACAATTGTGAATTCAGCATCAATGAGTAAATGGCATTCTGATCGCATCAATCAAGTTAGAAACAAATAGAAAATAGTATTATTAAATATAATATGATAATTTTTCTATTTTAATTTTTAGCGTTTATTTGAACTGAACTATGAAACAGATACAATCGATCTTGATCAATATTCCAAAATAATGGAATTATTAGATGTAAATCCTAAATTAGTTGTTGTAAGATAAAACAAAAAAAATAAACCAAGACGAAAAGAAAAAATTCATTTATTTTTAGGAAATTGAATTTAAAACATTAAGAGAAAACTTAATCGATCGTTTTAAAGCTGTTGGTCGTTCGAAGATTTTCGATAGTATTGGTACTCTATTTGCTCTATTAAGTGTATTACTTGTTACAGTTTGTATTCAAATTCTTTTCTTTTTTTTTTAAATAATACTTCTATTTGATTTATTTCATTTGTTCAATAGATTGAAATTAGTCATCGTCATTTACATTCAGAATACAAAGGATTAGTCGCTCATACATTACTGATATCATTTGCTAATATGAGTCTTATAATTTATTTCGTCTTTGAAATAATAATGAAAGCATGGTCATTTGGTCCAGATAAATTTTTTCGTTCATCATCCGCAAATATATTAGAAGCAGCTGTAGCTTTTACATGTCTTGTAAAATAAAAAGAAAATTTTCTTATTTAAAATATTATTTTTATTTATAAATAGATTTTACAAATAATATATACGGCAATTCATGGATCACCAGTTATTTCTAATAGGTGAAAAAAAGAAACTTTTGTTTTTTGATTGTTTCATTCTTATTTTCATTGTAACATAATTTGATTTAGTGATTCGAATATGATAACACTATGGGAAGCAATAAAAATATGTAATATGTTATTTATTTATCGATTAGTTCGATTTTTACCAGCATCAAAAAATATACAAATTGTTGTTGGTACTGTTATTGATGAAATTCGAAATGGTGGTGCTTTTTTTGGAGTTTTATTTGTAAGTTTAATTATTTAAATTCAATATAGTTTTTTTTTTTCTTTTTATAGAGTTTTTATTATGCATATTCAATACTTGGTATGGAATTATTTCGAGGTGCTATTGATAATCTTTATATGCGTCAAAATCAGACAAATGCATTGTAAGTATATTATTAAGTGATATTCTATTGACAAATTAATCTTTGAAGAATTTGTGGAACTTATGAACAACTTGAATATTGGCCAAATGGTTTTGATGATTTTTTTGTAAGTTGAATTAAGAAATATATTTATCGATTGAGATTAGTTTGAGTTTGGATTTGCACATTCAAAACAAAAAAATCTGTTGAACTTAGCCTCCAAATGAATACATTTTAGTCTTTAGACTAACCATGAATAGAATCGGTTCTGTCGAGATTAAAACTACCTTGTCTATATCTACTCTAGACAATAGCGTCCTAGAAACCGTAGTGAATATCCTAAAAAGTTAAAACATCTATTATACACATGTTGTGAATAAATCTTTTTACTATAAAAAAAAAACGTTGTTAAAATACTTTGATTTAATAGTTTCATTATAAGTTTCTTTTTTTGTAGTCATCGATTGTTACACTTTATAATATAATGATTGTAAATCAATGGTTTGTTTTTGTAAATGGTTTTCGAAGTGCAACAAATACAAAGTAAATTTTTATCTTATAGATGTTTCATTTTTCATATGTATTTTGTTTTTTATTGAATATAGATGGAGTGAATTATATTTTATTTTTTGGTATTTATTTGTTACAACAATTGGATTAAATATATGTCTTGCATTAAGTGGTGATGTGAGTATTTATTTATTAATTGAAATTTTAATTGTTATTGATTGAGTTTAGATTCATGATGCTAAAAAGAAACGAGCTAATGAACATGAAGAATTAATTGTATCAAATATGTTTGATATTTATCGGTATGTAAAAAAAAAAGAAACGCAAAGTTGACTCGAATATAGACGGCGGAGGTATGAGCCCTTCAGTAAACTGAAGCTTACCTTAGATTCAAGTTTCATAAGCCAAACATTTGTTTCTCGTTCTTTTGGATTGATAGTACATCAAAATTCTCCACCGCTTTCAAAATATCATTCAGTTTTTTTTAATATGAACACTATTGATTCACTACTATTCTGTTCTTGTTGAAATTAAATAAAAACAAATGTTTAGTATAATTATTTTATGAGACGTATCAGTTCTATAAAGTGTAAGATGTGAGTTAAGTCTATTTTTAACTTTTCGAAAGAGATCTTCTAAGGATTATTCAACCTATTCTCGATTCAAAATGTTCTTCTACATATAGATTCGAATGAGATCATTTTTATTTTTAGATCTCAATTGAATGAACCACCGGCTGAAGTGATAATACAACGATTGAATGCACATCCCTATATTAATTTTCATGAAAATTTATGTGAACAAATCAATATTACGTGAAAAATAATTCTTGTTTTTCTTTTTCTTTTTCTTTCTTATTTTTTTTAATTAATTTGTCTATGATTTTTCGATAAATTTTATAATAATATATATATAATCATATTTTGCAAGATTAACATGATAACTATTTATTTTATTTGATTAAATACATATATATATATATATATATATTCAAATAAACTATCACAACCATGTATTTGAATTGTTAATTGTTTGTAAAATCCACTCTGAATAATAAGAAATTTTTGTATAAACACCAAGACCAGCACAACTAAAACCCCATGAAATTAAACCCACTAAATACCATCGACCATTACGTAATAGAATCATAGGACCACCTGAATCACCCTGTAGAAAAGATAAAATTTTCTTTTTATTATGTTATATCAAATCTCTAAAAGTTACTTGACAAGCATCACATGTTGAATTTTTACATAAACCAGCACAAATATTTGTTTCCCATCTCAGTGCTTTTAATCCACATTGATCATTTGATTGAATAAGTACTTCAACTTCACGTAAATATCGAAAACTTCCCGTACCTTTAGCAAGAATAATTATAAATCATTGAATTTGATAAAAAAAATATATAAACTTTACCTCGAGTTGATCCCCAACCAGTAACAATTGTTCGTTCACCATGTTTGACACTATCATTTGTAGATGAGAGACAAATAGGTCGAATGAATGAATTAAATACAAGAGGCTCAGATAGTTGAAGTAAAGCAATATCATTCATCCATCTATTTGATTTTCCACTATATGAAGGATGCTGTTTAGAAACAAAAGAAGGAATAGCTTTATATAATTTTAGATGTGAAACATAATTTCGAAAGTGATTCATGAAGACCATGATACCCATCTCCGTATTAGAGAGCCTTTTAAGAACGTTTCTTGCCGACCAAAAAATAACAGCTCATTGGAATCTGAAATTATTAGTTACAATCAGAGCTTTTCGCTACTTCTAAATATGTGTTCAGAATTTTCTTGTAAGATTCGATTGGGCAACTATCATTAGATTATTTCAAAGGGTAGAAAATAATGATTGTATAGAATATTAGTTTGGCCCATTTGGTATTTCGACTAGAACCTATCAAACTCAAACTTCAAAATGGTTTTTAATGGCTTAATTTTTTTTTAGAGCTATGTTTGTTCTACAAAGCATGTTATTCACTCTTCTGTTTCATCTTACATGACTGACATTAAAAATTTTGTAGTTTTAGAAGCATTTTTTTAAACAATGATTTTTTGACTAATCCTAATTTTCACAGAACCTAGTTCTTTAATGGAAATACATAAATGAGATTTCACTTCTTTAAATATCTCATTTTATACATCCAGAAGTAAAATGTATTCGAATATAGCAAAACATTCTGATTCTAACTAATGAGAAAACTTCGTCATATGTCAATGACTTTCTGACTGAGATGTTCATATGATGAGTAATAGAAAAATCTAGAATGGTTTGGTTTTTCGGACCTTCGTTCTTCAGATATCGAAATTTTTATTGAGTTTTTCAATAGAGAGCTATGATTCTGCTGAGGCCACATGAAGAATCGAATTTCAAGTTTCGACTTCAAACTCTGCACGAACAAAACTCTTAATGAGATTAGTTCATTGGGCGACTAGTAGTTTTTTTTTTCTAGACATGTAAATATATGAAGAAAATTTGCTTTTACACATGAATAAGAACTTTGTTCATGTTAAGTTTGAAGTTGAAAGTCGATTTTACACGTGATCTGAGGAAATCATAGTTTTCGTGGAAAAATCCAGTAAAGTTTTCATATCTCAAGAATGAAGGCCTTGATAACCAAATCATTCTAGACTTTTCTATTACTCATCAAAGAAATAGCATCTCAATTGAAAAATGATTTGATATCTGGATAGGTTTTCTCGAAAGTCGTGACTAAAATTAGCTGTTTTTTAATGTCCGAAAAATGAGCGAATATTTTGTGCAAAGATTTTCATATCATAGGTTATTTAATTCATTATGTAATTCTATTTTCTCGCTTTAGTCAAATTCAAATACATACAACTATGATTTGTTTAATAGTTCTAGAGGTTCGTGAAGGTTCTATTCGATATCGATCATGTACACCAAATTCTGCCAATAAACTTCTTGGATGTGTTCTATAATAAAACAAAATCGTAAATCAAATCTAGTTTGTTTTATTTAATATAATTATGTATAAGTATACCCATTGACACAATGTGCAGCAGTTATTAACCATCTTGTATTGAGAACACTCGCTAAGATATTCAAGAACAATAAATTTATCAACGAAAAAAAAAGAACAAGTGAATAAAAATAATCTTACCTCCACAAAATTGATCTCGATTATTAAGAAGAACTTGCCATGGATAACTATGTGCTAAAGCTTGTCGACCACCAACAATACGACTAGAAATGTCAATATAATATTGATTGCTATTGGTCCATGTCAAACCACATTCTGAAAATAATGAATTTCGATTATTTATATGTTTTTCTAATGGTAAAGTCGTTGATGCTAATAAAGTCGAAGTTGTACTTGATATTTCTAATAAATAAAATGTTTTTTAAAATAAATATCAAATAAATAAATAACAACATACGAGGAATTTGTATTAAATGATATTTCATAAGAAAATATACATCAAGTGTTGGATCAATAATACGAAGTTCAATCATTAACATTTGTCCAATACCACCAATACGTACATGACGACGATCACCACAAATTTCAATTTTTTCATGTTTTAATCCTACTGTCCATAAATTAATAGATCCACGATGACAACCTGTATGTAAATACTCTTTAATTGATATTGGAATAAATATATAATCAAATTCGATAATAATTTTCTAGGTAATCAAAAAGAAAAGAGCTTTTTATCTTAACAATGATGACAAATAAAAAATTTTATAACCTCATCAAGAGAACTTGCAATCAACCATTGACAATGAACAGGTAATCCAGTATACATTATAATAGTTTTATTGACAGTAAGAATACCACTCTTATCGGTAAAACTACGTAATAAAGGGCAATTAGATAAAATAACATTCGAAATGAAATTAATTATTATGATTATTATAAACACTAAATCTTTGCCTATATATTTAAATAATAATAAAATTAAATAAGCCTATTACATTTGATAATCTTACCACCGGGCATTAAAAAAATCATCTTATTGATACTAATGATGATGATAATGATACTCAAAATTTATTCGAACTACCTTCAATCTTAGGATCATTTTTGTAGGTTTTTCTTTTCTTCAGGCTTCAAACAATAATGAATAATTATCCCTTTTTCTCAATGATAAAAAGTATTTTTCATTTAACCTTCAAATAAAACACGAAAGAACAAACATGATATGGTGTACATATGAAAAAAAAAAGTTTCCTTATATGTTCCTTGAAGAATTATTAAAATTTCATATATATCATATTATTCATTGCTTTTAGTAACAGAAAATATTATAAGATCGATTGTCTTGAATTTCTTTCATGTGATCTCAATTGAACAGATGAGTTTGTTTGGCTTCTTCTCTTCATCCTATTGAGTATACAATAGAAGTATTTATGCAAATGTTCATATCTCGACAAATAAGTCTGTCTCCGTCTTGAATTATATATATTTTATCGTCTCAATTAGTTTATTATATTGGAATGTACATGTCTATTCATCATGAATGGAATTGAAGGTTTTTTCTTTTTTTTTTTTTTTTCTAGGCTGTCATCATCATCAAATGTCATATTATGATAAGCAACGAATAGCAATTCGCTTTTTATGAAGGATTGATGAAGTAATAATAATAATGTTTGAAACATCGAATACTTCAATACATCATCAATATGATAGTGCCGAACACGAGTGCACAGTTTAAATATATATGTAACTTTTTTTTTCTTTTGCAACCACATTGCTTTCTTTTCTGTCTCACACTCTTTTGTTCTCAATATATATATTATGATTGCAAGTTTGTGCGCCTACAAACTTAAGTAGTCAGTTGGTTTTGTATGTGCTCAATTTGTTGCTTATAGGTTGTCTCTTATTCTCTCTCTCTCTCTCCTTCTTTTTCGTCAATTGTAAGTAAAGAATGTATATAAGGCGTTTGCCTAGCACCAATAGCTGGTCATTGACTCACACCGACAACGTCTTTCTTCTTCTCTCTCTCTCTCTCTTTCTTTACTATCGATGATAAAAGGGTTAATCTATATGTGTGCTGTTACAACCTTTTTACCTCTTGCGTAGTAGTAATAGTTGGTATACAAGAGAAAAAGAGAAAAAAACGAACGGAAGGACGACGACCAAAAACAACCGATAGCAATATGCACACAGAGAGTCAGTTGGTTGCCTGCCCCCTCCATTTGTCGGCCTAACAATGATTATAATTTGATCGTTCGGGTTCAATTTTTCTTCTCTCTTCTTTCGCTGAGACAGCGGTGTTAGTAATGATGATGATGATGATTATTCCAAAGTAAATACACTTTGACTCTTTCTCTTTTCGTTGCCTTTCTCTTATGTTTAGATGGACAATGTATATTTGTAAAGAATTGAGCAAATTGTTCGTAAGCTTATTAAGTTTTTATATATTGTAATTCTTCTACTCTTCATATTTATCGTTATGCAACAAATTTTAGTCGGAGTCTTTCTAAGAGAAACAAAAAATAATAATAATAATAGAATTTCAAGTCTGTCTGTCTGTCTGTCTTTGTATGTAGTTCAAAAAAGAAAACAAAACGACTTTATTAACATATAAAGATTGGTACGTATGTGACAAAAAATTACAGATAATATCTTTGTGTTTTTGTTTTTTTATTTGATAAAAAACTATTCAATATTATTTTTATATAATATTTATTCTATATATATAAATAAAGGATTAAGTATGTATTACTACTCCGTTAGAATCATTTTACTATATAGAACAAAGAAGTTTTTGTATTATGCTAAACATGTTCGTCAAAACTTATAAATGGACATGTGAAACGTATATTTTTTTTTTAAAGGTTTAATTAAAATTTCCATATGAATAATAGAAACATATTTGTAGGATAGTTTCTTCTAATCTAAGAAAAAATTCATGAGATAAACTTTTTCTGTTCAATTATAGATTCTTCGACTATTTTGCATAATGCCAAATATCTATGTTATATTAAATTAGTTAAAATTTCTGAGTTTACACAATTCTCCAAATCTATCGTAACACGAAAATAAATATCAAAATATTTCATTTATTGTTGTTAAGAAATTTACCAGTTAGAAGTTAAAATTTTAATCTATTCTTTTCAAGTTTCGTAAAACCTCTAAACGTAGCAAATAAAAGGTTTTCGATCTTTGGAAACCTTTTGAAATGTTACAAACGTCTAGAAACTCTTCTTTTTCTAATTTTTAGTAGTGTTTTCATAAAATAACTAAACTAATGATAAGTTAGAATTTTTGATACTTCTACAAATTAGTGACACTGCTGCATCTATAATGTTCGATGCTCTTCTCATCGGCTGGCACTCTCTGATGTGTCCTGTCAAGTAGGCCAATTACTGCATATGATGTCATCAATGTGACAAATAACTAAGTTGTGTGTTGCATGCGACTTCCTGAATGAAAATAAAACATAGCCTGAAACCTTATAGATTGAATTTCTGTTTTCGATCGCAGCCTGGAGTATTAATCTCATTACATTTTCTTTTTTTTTTTTCTCTAAAGTACTTTTATCATAAGATGAATGAAGTGACACTTGTGCATTTTACTATTCCCCGTTATATTACACATTTGTGTGCTTTTCACAATCGCACATATGCACTCTAGGGGGGTCGCCACAATACATAAGGACCATTGGTTAAAAGATAACATTTGTTTATTTATTTCGTGCCAATAATCGTTTCTTCTCGTTTTCAGATGCATTATTATTATAAAATTCAATAATCAAAAAGATTTATTGATAAAATATGTCAAGTCTACTTCCGTCATCATCTCAAATGAATGCAAATATAAGTTCTGGTACAGGTACATTACAACGTTCATCAGTAAATAATGCAGCAGCTGATGCATTACGAAAAAAAATGCAACAATTACGAGATGAACTTGAATTAGTTAAAGATGATTTAGAACGTTCACGTAAAGATTTTGAAAAAGAACGACATGCTCGTGAATTAGTACGTTTAATTTATTATATTTTTTGTTTTGTTTTGTTTTAATATTTCAATTTTTTATTTCATAAAAATTTAGGCTGAAGCTGATGTTAGTCAATTAACACGTAAACTTCATTCATTTGAAGAACAACTTGAACGTACAGAGGAACGATTAATGCAAACAACAAATAAACTTGAGGAAGCATCGCATACAGCTGATGAACGAGAACGGTTAATTTTTTTATTTTCATTATTAAAAAAAAAGAAAATAGCATTCTGAATTTAATCTAGAACAAGAAAAATGTTAGAAAATCAATTAAATCTTGGAAGTGATCGTACAGAAATTCTTGAAGTACAATTAAAAGAAGCTCGTGCACTTGCTACAGAATCCGATAAAAAATATGATGAAGTTGCACGAAAACTTATCATACAAGATAATGAACTTGAAAAAGCTGAAGATCGAGCTAAACGATCAGAAATGTAAATTTAAATATTTATTTTTAACAAAAAAAAACAAGAAAAAAAAAATTTTTTTAATCGTTTTAGGAAATGTGTTGATTTAGAACATGAAGTCAAAAATCTTCATCATCAATTAAAATCATTTTTGGCTCGTATTGATGATGTATGACTTTATTTTTTTTAAACGAATGATTTATTTTTTTATATTTCTTTGTTAATTTAGGCTCAAAATAAAGAACAAAGTTATGAAGATCAAATGCGTCGTCTTTCTCAACATTTAAAAGATGTAAGTATATTTCTTTTGTTGTTGAAAGATTTTTTTTTGAGAATAAATAAAAATTAGGCTGAACGACGATCAGATCTTGTATTTGATGAACGATATAATCTACAAAAATCTGTAGAATTTCTTGCAGGTATTCAATAAAAATGAGAGAATGAGATATGATTATTTATTTACTTTTTTGCTGTGTATTTTATTCGCATGATTTTTATTGCTGTGTTGCATGTATATAGGCTGAAACTCGCGCTGAATATTCTACTAAACAAGTACAACGACTACAGCGTGAAGTGGATTTACTTGAAGGTTTGCTTTTATTTTTTATACATGTTTTTTTTTTTGAATGTAGATTTTTATTTAAATGATTGTGGGATTTTTTTGCTTAGGCATCTTATAAGATATCATATTTGAAGTGATTTTTTTTATATTAAATAGTAATATATAAATGCTTGTAGGTATAAGATTTGATCGAATAGTTTGCATGATAAGTAGATTAAATTGTTTTTTAATGGATTGAGTAGAGTATGTATGAGAGAAACACTAGAGACAGAAAACTGATAGTTTAATTAAAACTATAGAATAGGTCTAATAAAAAGAATTTTCATTACTCATGAAATCTAAATCAAGAGAAACATACACGCTGTCGACAAGATGAGTCAAGACAAATATCACTTAGTGACTTATTGAGGATCATTTCATGTTAGACGGCACTGAGATTTGAATATATTACATTGTGATCAAGGATCAACTATGTTTTACTTGATGAGGATGTGGATCCAACTGTAACCCGCTATTTAAGCTCACTAGGTATCGAGATATCAAATCCACAAAAAACCATGATATTCCACCAAAAGAATGGAAATCTGTTTCAACGACCATGACTCCAAAAGATCAGTGTATAGGGCAAAATTCTTCTAGGTTACTTCTAGTCTCAATAAGCCCTATGTAATGACTGGGGTCTGGTATCCAACACGATGTGTTACATCGGATGGTTCATTCGTAAAGTTTATTATGCTTACTTATCTGTAGGAAAATTCAATAACATGATTATCACTCGGCTACAATTTGAGTTATAGTTGAAGTACTTCATTTCTTGTTTTGAAATATATTAAGCCAAGACGCATAAGTTTTTGTATAATAATACCTTCGTAAAAGCGATTTCTATATCAAAGAGGGCGAGCACATATTTTTTGGGAACACCAACACATATACAATAACCATAAACTTCGGAAGGGCAAAATTGATGTCCGCAGTGAGACATGATTTTATTTTATGAACAAAAACTAATATATATGTATCTCTTTTTGACTATTTTAGAAGAATTACAAAGTGAACGTGATCGTTGTAAAACTCTCCAAAATGAAATGGAACGTTGTTTTTCTGATTTACAATTACTTTAAAAAAAATTCAACGTTTTTTCACACATCTCTTTGTCAAACATTCATCATTTTTTTTTTCTTACATTACTATTAGCGTACAATATCAGTTCGCCAATTGTCAATATATTCTTTTGTGTGTGCGTGTGTCATTTCGCTTTTTTTGTTCTTAATAAAGTAATCACGTTATTATCTTGTACTTCAGATATTCTTTTTTTTTCTCAATTTTCTTCTGTAGTTATTATCTTTTAAAGCTAAACGAAAAAAACACAAAAATAAAAAAAAATTTACACGTTTTATTTGTATGTATAATTAACAGTATAGTTAAATCATGTATATGTATATATATATATATGTGTATCTTCAGATGTTTATACAATCATGGGAAGAATTTGCTAGACAAGCTGAACGATTATATCTTAATAATCCAATGGCTTGTCGATTTTGTTTAAAATATCGAAATGAAAAACTTATACTTCGTTTAACTGACAATCATACATGTCTTCAATATAAAAGCAAATATGCACAAGATTTGAAGAAAGCTGAAAAATTAATGTCAAGCCTTTTACGACATATGGCATCAAAAGAAGCATAGACAAAAAAAAAGAAAATAAAAGAAAGATTTTTATCGTTCGCTTTATTGTTTTTTTATTATTATTCCAAATAAAAAATAAATAAAGACAAAAAAGATGATGCAATAATTCAAATTTTTTTTTCTTTTCAAAAGAACAAAACACATCATAAAATTTCATTTGTCGTTTTTTTGTTTTTATTTGAAGTATTCATCAAAGAGAATTTTGCTCTTGTTGTTGTTGTTTTTTTTTTACGACCTATGCTGTTATCGATTCACACCTTTATTTTGTGTCTCGCACTCTTCTTATAAAACGAAATGATTGAGCCAAAATGATTGAGACGAGAGAGATTGATAAGGAGATGAACATGAATATTCGGTTTGCTTTCATCCTTTTTTTTTTTTGAATGATTGATCAATGAAGAAAAAACAAAATAAAAATAAAAAGTTTATTGATTATTACATGAGAAGAGTATGAGCATGGTTATTAACAAGCAATCGACTAATGATGCATAGAAAAAGAATGATGAATTTTATATTAGAAAGATAAATGACATGATGATGCGATCAACATAAAAGCCGACATTTTAAATCGTTGTATATCATTGATAATGATATAGGAACAAAAAAATTAGTGTTCAAAAAAGAAACTATACTTAAATATGATTTAAAATTAAAATTTTATTATATCTTGATAAGTGAATTAAGTGGATTCTTGACTTCAAGAATAACATCATAGAAACGGCTGATATGAGTAATATCGAAGTGTGAATAAAGTTGGAATCGTTGAAGAGTATAATCTTCATTCCTTATATTTTTCATTTGTACATGATTAAAATAGTTAAAATTCGTCATCATGTGATTTTATAATCCATTTTATTGTAAGATCTTTTTCTTTTAATAATGATTTTTGAAATTATTATATTAAAATTGGAATAAGTTGGAAGTTCGAGTTCATATTATTAAACATGATATCGTAGACATTAACAAGTGAAAATCTTTCTCGTTTAGTAGACAATGCAATAATTTAACTTCTGTCACTCAAAAACTCTCAATAACCCCGAGACTGCACTGAAAAACAAAATGATGTGATACGAAACCTAAAAAAGGATTCAAATTTATTTCAATTCTCGAAACATTGTTTTTCACTGTAAGCAAGACCATTTGGCAGAAACTTATATTTAACAGCTTGTATACTAGAGTCATTGAGTCTAAAGTTTTCAGATCTGGATCTAGTCATGTCGTAATTTGAATGTTTCAATAACAGTTTCTAACCGAAACTGAATAGTCGCCTCGAAGATACGAGAAAAGTTTTTTGTATTCGATGACTAGAACCCATACGATTAAAAATGTTCGGATATGGACTTGATTGAGCCTCGAATAAATCCAACGGCCTCTGTTGAATACTGATTTTCTAAAGATAATTTTGCACTGAAATTTCTCTTTTAATAACTTTTTGTTTTTTATTGATATGACGATTCTGCTACGAATTTTATATCGTATTTTTCTAAAAACTAGATATATAGATTTCGATTCATTTATAATAAAAGACAACGACATAATTTTATTTGTAATGATTTAAAGAAAAACACAAGACAAAAAAAATCAATATTTTGTACAAAGTCCATCGAATTAAGCAGTAGAAGAATCATAGTTCGACTAGAATGTGCAATAAGAATTCAAATAAGATAGTTTAAGATTTAGTTTGTTTTGTTTTTTGTTCGTTTTTATCTGCTTGTTGTTGTTGATTCACTCATTGAATTCGATCTAAACGGTGCTAAACCCATAGCTGGTAAAGCAAAATTAATTGAAGGTTTTGAAGGTGAATATTGTTGATGATTTTGTTTTGGTGATGAACTAGATGATGTTGGTGATGAAGCTGATGAACATGATGTTGCTGTATCTGTTGAACCATTCAAAATTTGAGATGGAGGAGTTAATCGAACTCTAGCTGTAGCTAATCTTACAGCAGCAGCTGCTAATGGATTAATTGGAGGTATTAGTGGATTGCTAGTTGGTTGTGTTGGAGATGGTGAAACATAACCTGATACAGCTGCTGCATACATACAAGAAAAATATGAAAATGGATCACCAGGATAACCTGGCCAAGGAAATGCAAATTTTTGTCTTTTATCTTTCATTCGTCGATTTTGAAACCATACCTAACAAGTAAAAATTTAAGAATTTTGTTTTTCTTTTTTTGACATTGATAAAAAAAAAATTATATTTCTTACTTTAATTGTTGATTCTGGTAATTGTAATTCAGCTGCTAATTCACAACGTCTTGGTCGACTAACATAATTTTCTCTAAGAAATTCTTTTTCAAGTCTAGCTAATTGTTCACGTGAAAATGCTGTTCGATATCGACGAATATTATCATCATTAAGATTTGTATTATTAATATTAATATTATTATTATTATTATTGTTATTATTAATAGAATTATTAATTGAAGTACTATTCAAATTGTTTGAATCATCTTTATAAGAAAAAAAAAAAAAAAAAAAAAAGATATATTTTGTCTTTTGGAATATTCTTCTTACCATTATCATCAGAAAATATTTCATCATGAAACATTCTCGAACTACTTGCTAATAAATATGTCGACGGATTACTACTACCTAACATTATCAAATGAAATATTCGATTATCTCAATAGCAGACAAATCTCTCTTTCTCCTTTCTCGCCGCTTTTTTTCTTCTTCGTCTTCTCTTGACGATTATTCGTTCTATCAATGATTGTAAGAGAGCAACCAAAGAAATTCTATTGGTTAATATTTAAAAAAAAATTCATATATACATAAACAATGACTGGTCAACATTTCTCTTATAAATGATCAAGTTGATGAGACAAAGAAAGCAAATAATTGCTAATATCATTAAATATAGAATGAACGTGAGGTGTGAACAATGAGAAGCATAATTAACAGTTTACTTCTTCCCGTGAAAATCGGACGAAAGTAAACAGATAAGACTTTGCATGAACAATTCAGATGAGACAATTTATAAACAAGAAACAAAAAAAAAGAAAAAAACTAAGTCGCGAACATAAATGTCGTTGATTATTTTCGTCTTCTTAAATGAAAACATTCGATCGGATGCGACTAATTGGCCTAATACAAAAAAATAACTACTCCGCCCTATATTGACAAACGTTTGTGTCTCTCTTTCTTGCTATACAATATACGCGTGTAGATATATATATTGAATACACGCGATAGTTATACATGTACCTATTTTACATTTTCAAGGGTCAATAAACATACACATTAAAATGACCATCATCCCATGGCCGCCAGTCACAAAAATAGTATGTCGTTAATCAATGATAGATAATCACACGTTTTCACATGACCCATACTAAACAAATCGCTTTTTTTTTTTTTACTTTTCTATTAAATTTAATTTCAAAATGCTTATTATTGAAGATGTTGATTTCTATTGATATCGATTAAAATAATAAATCAGAGAAAACAAGATGTTTGCTATTTAGTACATGTATAAATGCTTACTCTTCTTTTCTATTCGGATTAATTTCATATGCCATTTATTTATTAGACTGTTGTTATCAAAAGATCAAAGTAGATAATAGTAAATCATTTTTCATTCATTCATCTATATATGTTCTGATAGAAAAATTTTAGGGATCATTTTTATTTTCATTTACTTTGAGCGTGATTATCATTCTGCGTGACAGAATAATATACACAGGTTGAGTGTCTTCATTTTCTCGACATTCTATTAACATGCAAGAAAACCATTCGCACATCAGTACGATAACATTTATAATTGATCAATAAAATATTATTTTTTTCTGTTCATACCTTGGCATAGAACGAGATGTGATTCTCTTATTTTATAAACTTTTAAAATTGATTTAAAACAAAAACAAAAAGAAGATCTGCATGTAGGCGACTTCAATCATGTTTTTTGTCACATATGTGTTACAATTATGAAAAATAAACACAGCAGTAGCATCAATTCACTTTCATATGTCAATGTTTTCTTATGCACATCTTTGCCTTTTTACCGCTAACAATCCGATCGATCATTTCAATCGAATAAAAGATAAACAGGAAAAAAAAAATTGTGAAACATACCGATAAATAGATAAAAACAATTTCTTTTACAAAAGAAAAAGAGAACATCTCTTTATAACTGTAAATTGATCATTATAGGAAAAATAAAATACATAAATATTGTCTTTCTACTAGTTCTTATTTTATATGATATATACATATTGCGCGATATGATAACAGAGTTTGAAGTTTCTCGATTAGTGTCTATTATTAGAGAACATGTTATAGTCGTTTATACTACCGACTAAGTCTCATCTAATATATTGACATCTGTTTGAGACTCCCCATAATAGTACCTCTTCTTCTTCTTCTTTTGTTTTTTTAGTTGTATATTGATATGTACTATTTTTAAGACACAACTATGAAAAAAGGTCAAATAAGAAACTTACTATCGACGATGATGCCATTATCAGTTGAGAAAGAAAAATCATTGCTATTTTGACGTTTTCGCTTGTAAATACCCATTATACTTATATAGCCTGAAGTAAGATGATGATTTTTATGATTTGAATTGTATGTCTAGAATGTTTTTATAATGAAATAAATAATGATGATTGTATTAAATTGAGGTACATCTTTTTCTTTTCAATACTCTCTCTCTCCCTCTCTCTCTCTCTTTCATTCTTTTTATTCCGATTCGTTCTTATTTTCAAACGATTTTCAACACCAATCACACTCATTAGGTGCGACTAGTCTATATATCGATAGCAATAACCATTATTCGCACGGTTTGATATGTATATGTTTTATAATAAAAAGGAAATGATCTCTCTCTCCCTGTCTCTCATTCTTTTTTCCTTTTGTCGCATTAATATATGTATATAAATCATAAAACTGTTGTTATAAGTCAGCGTGTTTAATTACCGTAGCCTATTTCAAAAAGAACTTTTGATCTAGTGAATAGTTTTATTCATTTTTCACATAATATTGACAAAAAAATAAAAATAAAATAAAATTCGTAAAAAAGTCTATATGATAGAATAATTATAAATTTTAACAAAAAAAAAAAAACTTGAAGAAATGAAGACGTTCTATTTTCTAATGAATAATTTTTTTTTGATTGAAATTCAAAAATCTAAAATTTTTAAAGTCTTTTATACAAATATTTATATTCTACTTTATTTGTATAAGATTATATCAATGTCAGATAGCTAAGCTGTTATTAGTATTCATAAAATTAAATTGTCGACTACGAAAATATAGATAAGTTTAGTCAATATACTTTTTTTGATAGTAATGTAACAAGGATATTAAAGATGATTTCGATTTCAAGTTACAAACAGAGATCTTAGAGATGCTTCTGGTTACAAGAATATTGAAATTGTAAGCATATTGAACAAAGAAAATAAAATTTCTCTTTATCCTCCCACAACAACTCAGAAGGGTATATACATATTAATTTACAATTACTTTTCTTAGTCACATTTGAAAAAGTTTAACAAAATAATGATTATAAAGATTTGCTTCATCATCTTATTATTCTTTAACAGTACTATTTTTTGTTGTGATCGAAAAGATTCTTGTAATCCTTATTCATTCTCAATTCATTTCTTCACATTGATGTTGTTACAGTTGTTTCCGAAAATGTTGTACCTATAATTTCGGATGGACGATTCCAAAAAGACGCTGCCCCATTTTTTTTTTGCCACACTGAAATATGCTGATGTCGAAGGATCGTGCCCTACGATCTTGGAAGTAATTCATGCATTATAGGATCACTGATGGTATGGAAGCGCTCGGTTTAGCTCATCAGTTGTGTCACTACTTTTGGACTTATAATAGGATTAGAACTTCATAAACAAGGTGAACTAATTGATGTAGACAAGAGTTTTCTTTGGATTTAACTTTCAATTTCATTTGTACTTACAACTATTCATCATACATCAATCTCTTTCTCGTTCGGATAAATACTTTGAAATAACAACATCTTGTCAAAATCTTTCTTCTATCATTCAATATCCTAGAAATAAAAACATATTATTGCCGTAATACATATAATCAACTTATATAGATAAGCTAACAATCTAAACATATCTCTGTTATGACATAAACTCCAAAAATACAATTAAATTATTGAAATATCTTTCTTATTGAATTCAAGTTTTGATCAAAATGTTTCCGTACATTTTTAATTGTAAAACATATTGAAATTTTTTTATTAAATGATCTTATGATGTTTTTTTTTTTTTTGTGCAAATTGATCTAAATTATCGTGCTACATTTCATGTTCTTTCTGCATCATTTAATAATCGTTTGAAATGGAAATTTTTTTTTTTTGTGTTCATTTCTTTTACAACTTTTTTTTTCTTCTAATATACGCATCAAACTCTCAAGAGTCATCATACAAATGAAAATAATAACAACACATGACAACAATAATAACAGGTCAAAAAAGAGAGTTTTGTCGACGATTAACACGTTTAATCAAGAGTCGTTACACATTTCAATCAAAGCATTCGTCCGAGATGCAAATGACATGTGTTATGTTGTTATTGCTTGATTACATCGCACGAAACGAGATCAAAAAGAGACGATTGGTGACAGTCCTTGAGAGAGAGACAGGAAAAAAAAGTATAATCATTTTTATGAGTTGACTTACGTCAAGAATATACTTGTTCAGTAGCATTCGTTAGATTAAAAATCTTGTCTTTGATCAAATGTCGATATCTATGTTAGAGATCAAAACATTAACATGTCGTGAATATTTTTCGTGTTTTCTAGCTAATTTTTGATCAAACGAAGACATAGATCATAAATCACGCTGCTCATCTTCATTAGCTTGACGAAATGAAATTAATTTTTTTCTTCTCTGTTTCATTTGTTCTATTATCTTTCGTTTTCTTTTCTTTTTTTTAAATATGAGGCCGCTCACGATTGTTCGAAAATAAGATATAAGATAAGGGAGGAGAAGCCGCCATCATTGATTTGCTTACCTGCAAATTGACAAAATGATTTGTTTTGTTTTTGAAGAATGATGCGTTATCATTTCACTTGTATGAATAGATAAAAATGGTTCATATGTATATTTCATCTCTGTTTAAATTATTTAATTTATGAAATCAGTATTTTTAAAGTTCAAGTTTGTTTTTATGTTGTCAGATGATACCCTTTGTATTTGATGAAAATTGAATCTATGACATTCAGTATATGATTATCAATTTAAATAACATCTTAAAATGATAAGATTTTTGTTATTGGAAAGAACATATCAAACTTGAAAATTTTCATTTGATTGAATTCAATCTAATAGAGACGTATTTGTAGATTTGTTTAACTGATGATATTACTGTTATTGTAGTTTCAATAATATTTCTAACACTGTTTGCTCTGATTAACTTGGTACTCAAAGCTGTATTAATCTAAAATGTCACGAAAATAAAGAAGCTTTTCATATCTCACCATTTGATACTATTACAGTGTTCTATACGTTTAAGACTTTTTGAAACCACATCTAGATCAGAGTTAATCGACGCCCGGCGAACACTCTTAAAATGATAGTACGGTTTTCAAACTTTTATTTTATATGAAAGAAAAGTATATATATTTTAGTTTCTTCCATATATAGGAACAATAAAAAACGAGATTATCTCATATTCTGAATAAAATCAAGTGATTCTGAATTTATTGAATGCCTTTCTTCTTCTAAAACTGCATCATTTTCGCTAAGTAGACGTTGGAATGGAACGCACTATTCATGCCAATATCTATTTTACTTCCATTAAAAAAAAATGCATTAAAATTGAAAATGTGCATATAAGCGTCAAAAAGATAAATTTCACATAAAAAAAAAATCAATATATTCGATAGTGTTCTATATAGACATTATCATGAAGGTTTAATAGTATTTAAAAATATTCAGGAATGCTAATAGAACTTTTAGCATTCTTTTTCAAAAAACTTTTGAACTTATGAAATCAATGAGAATATATTTTCTTCCAAAAATATAAGTTAGAATCTATAAGAAAATATAATGGTGACGAGCGAGATTTCTTTCTTTTTAGAATATTAATGAATGAATAATAAAGAATTCAAGATTATGAAGAGTATACGTTCTTTGTTATTCTAATCTCTAATAACCTGTAATAGAGCAAGTTTTATATAGATATAGAACGGTTTTGAGTTGAAAAGAATATAGCATTCTATCATGTACTGATGTATATGTGATGAGCATGGGATATTTTTTATTTTATTTTATCAAATAAGAATTTTATGAAAAAAAAAAACAAAATCCATTTCATTTTATATATAATTTCTTTTGTCCTATTAATTTTAAGTCATCTCATTTGTGTTATTTCAGTTTAACACACAAGTTGAAACTAAAAATATATTGAAATAAGACATTATTATGATTGCTTCTTTTTAATAGTTTGGTACAAACAATACGTGTTTAAAGTGATTTTATCTTACAGATTCTTGTATCAGAAGACGTTCTAATCACCATCTGCTAACGTTCTCAACGTGCTCGTCTTACCCACATACTTTTCTTTAAGTTTGGTTTCGATAATAGGTATGTGATATATAGTTCAAGGTTAACAACTGGCAAGAGCTGCATCGACTGGCTCTGGTGAACAGCTTTAGTTTAATTATAAATTTTGAAGTAATGCCAAACTACTTAGTACATTGTGAGATTGCAAAATTATCCTTAAGCATTAAAAAATTTGAGAAGCATATCAAATTAGCGTATATTATACATTATTTGCGATGAGTATTTTCTTTGGTTTCAAAAAATATTGCATGCTGATTATTGATAGTTGTTACAAAAAATTGTTTAAAAAAAAACATGCGTTCTTTTTACAGTATTTTCGATATTTCATGATAAAACGTCCTTTACGAAATGTTCCCGATTTTTCATCCTTGAGAAAATGTCCTTCAGAGTATATGTCCCCTAATCCTCTATTATTACTTTTTAACTATAATGTTACTGAAATATAGACGATCTTATAATCTAAATATACGTTTATATCTAAGATTTATTTCTATAGATATAATGAATGGAGTAAGAGCGATGGTAGGTGAAGAGAGTCTATACATACACAATCATATTCAAATCAATCAGTTAATGCCCTCTATTGAATGCATAACTCAATAAAAAGAAAGGTAAGATCGAAATATTTACTATTGGTTATTTGTTTTTCTGCTATGGTAAGTTGTCACAAATTAATTAATCATTCATGCTCTCTATAGCAGATTGGATCTACCTATATCCTATTGAAAATTAGTATCAAGCAAGAAAAAAAAAACAACATCTGATCAATATCGAAATAAATTCAATGTTTCGTCGTGGTACAAAACGACCACGTTTTAGTGTTGGTGGTCATACTATATTCGAACATGACGATTCATCAAATCATTCAGGTCTTGGTATAGTTGATTATGAAGAAGATTCTTCATCTCAACAACATACAACAGTAAGTAATTCGGATTCAAATTTTCTTTTCAATCAATTTACAACTGAACGACCACGACGTATTCAAAAATCTATAACAAAATCTCATAATGATGATAATACAAATTTAACTGCATGTCTTAATCATCTTTTACGAATACTTTCACGTAAAGATAAACAAGGTTTTTTTCAATATCCTGTTACTGATCAAGTAAAAAATCTTTAATATTAAAATTTTTTTAATACAAAACAAAAAAAAAATTTTTTTTTTTTGTCTTTAGTTTGCACCAGGTTATTCACAAATAATAACAAGACCAATGGATTTTTCAACAATGAAAAAAAAAATCAATCAAGATGATTATTCAAATATAATTGAATTTCGTTCAGATTTTGAACTAATGTGTGATAATGCTATGAAATATAATCGTCCAGATACAATTTATTGGCAAGCTGCAAAAAAACTTCTAGCAACAGGAACAAAATTAATGAATAAAGATAAATTATTAAGTTTTCGTCGTAGTTTAGAAAATTTTTCTCGTCTTACTGAACGTGAATTAGGTTTTCGTATTGATTCATTAAATCATAATATTGATGAACAACCAACAACATCAAATGAAACATATGATTCATCAATGACTGAAAATGAAAATTTTTCAACAATAAATTTAAATCAAACAAATTTACAACGTAAACCAAAATTAATATTAAAATTACCAAAATATTATGAAAAAGTTTCAACATCAATACAAGATGAATCTATTACTAATAATGATAATGATAATGATAATGATAATGATAATGATGATGATGATGAATTATCACCAGAAGAAATTCTTTTACAAGCACAACAAGCTGCACAAATTGCACATGAAAAAATTCGTTTACATCATTCATTAAATACTTATACAATTGCATATCAACGTACAAATAATATAACATCATTAGATTTTATAAATCAAGATGATTTTAGTCAACAAACAATAACATTAACTGAATTAAATGATGATAATTTATCTTCAACATTACCTATTATTAATGAATATGAAAAACGTTATCATTTATCAGCACGAGATTTTCTTGAAAATGGACCATTTTCATCAAATGTATCACAATCTGATTCAATATTTTCTTCTATATCAAAAGAAGAACTTGATTTATTAATACATACATATGGAAGTGAATTTTCAGCACAATATGCTGTTTCATTAATGGATTATGTTAAAGATGCAGGAGATTTAGCATTAGCTTATGTTGATAGATTTTTATCAGTATTAACAAATGGTGAACATGATAATTTTATTATGAAACGACGAGAAAAAGAACATAAAATTGAAGATGATCAAAATAAAATTATCGAAACACTTTCAACTAACAATGGTAAAATATACGAAAATATTTTCTACATGTTTTAAACGAACAAAGAAATGAGTGTAATGTTTGTTATGTTGTTCATATGAATTGACAAGTGCCAAGGTTGTTTTGTAAAACATGATCAAAAAGGAGAGTTGAAGTTTTGACCTTTACAGATCGTGACAAACATTAGTATAGGCTAATTATTTAAAAAACTAATTAATATCTAATTATTAACACATTAATAAGTAATTTATGAAAAGGAATGTTGAAGGTTTCAGTGAAAAAAGAAAAATCTGCCGCATATACAATGACAGACAACAGAAATAATATACGAGGTTCTCTAGTGTTATAGAGTTTGACAAATATTTCGATAGTTTAGTCTATGTTTCCATCAAAAACATGTGTAATGTAGTCCTTAACATTGTGTTTGACATTTCACTAAAAAACGTTCAAGGTAGTCTGAAAAACAAAGTTTGCTCCCCGTTTTTGCTATATTGTTCAATAATTTTTTTGTCAATAGATAATGCTTAAGAAAACTTAGAAGATTTAATAGAAAGATGTGCAGAATCAAATTATATAGGCATAATATTCTATAAAAGTTAAAATTTTTTTTTCTCAATGTATTAATTCTAAGAGAATTTTATTTTAAAACTAATATTATATAATTAATAGTTTCATCGATGGATTCTATTTCATCGTCTGATCAAATTAAATTAGAACCACAAATACATATTAGTAATACTTTACAACATCAACAATCAGATACAAATTTGAATGAACATTCGAAATTACTTACACAACTACGTCATACACAATATAATCGTTTATCACAATCTTCAAATGAAATTCATCAAGGTGTCCCTTCAAAACAAATAAATGATTCGAATCATGAATATGATTTAGCTGAAAAAGTTCTTTTTAATTTTAATGATTTAACATCACTGTCAAATGGAACTGAGAAATTAATCTCATCTGAAAGTATACATCATAATCTTGGTATTATTAATAATAATGACCCATCATTATCAACATTTGACACATTGTAAAATTTTATTTATTTTGTACAAACGGATTATTTTTGTTTTTTCTCTTTTTTCTTTTTTTTTTTGTTATTATTGTATAAAGAAATTAACAAAAACAAAGTTAGGGACAGTGTTTGATTCCTCAGTGTGTATATGTTTCTATTTTTCAGATAATCATAGTTGAAATACAAAATATTAATATATTTAGATTAATTAAATATTTTTTTATATATATTGAACAAGTATTATTCGAAATGATCCAAAATTTCTACATTACATATGATAACAATTCGTCATGGAAACTTGATAGTTTTCTTGTTAAATAGAACAAAGTCTCTATGACAAAACTGTGTAAAAATAGTTCATTGAAAATACTAACCAAAGGCTAAAAACTTCATGACATGCTTTTAGCATTCAGAAAACTTTCATCTACAAAGTTAGTGAAATTCTATGTTTTATGTCTGATTAGAATTTAGTGAACTGTCAACACAAGAGCATTCCATAACACTGATTATCAGAAATTATCAGACTAAAGTTATTGCATGTTATGGTGGAAAAATCAAGTTTTTAATAAAACTATTATCTATGGAATCTATTATTTTGTATATTGAAGATTTTAATACTGGTATAAACGCTTTCACTTCTCTCATCAGTGATTTTGTGTAGAAAACTAGCTAGTCTTTATGACGAATTGTTGTCATGTTGTACTCAAAAGAAAACGAATGCAAAAATTTTGTGCTGTCTGGTATACAGAAAGTTTACACATACTGAAAATAGATGTATTCCTTGGAAGCTGTTCCAGAATTCCCCAATATTCATGTTTACGCAAAAAATACGTACCGCAAGACAGATATTTATTCTTCATCTTTCGACATTTCGCCAGTAACGGATCATGTAACATCCGAACTGTCTGTAATTTTATTCGATCTATTACAATAATACATCATGGATTAATAAAGTTTGTTTTTATTGTTTATGTAAAAATTTTTATTTTTAGATCTGTTTTGTGATACTTCTATTTTTTATTAAAAAAAAAACCGATATGTCGAATGCTAATCATATATTCCAAGTATCACCGGTAATTGAAATGAATTTGGCTGGGATGTTTTTTTTTTCTTACTTCTTAAACTATACTTTTGTTTTGAAATAGATACGTTCATTGCGAGAGTTTATTGAAGGGAATGAATGGAGTACACCAAATTTAAATCCTAAGGAATTTGATAATGTTCAAAAACAAGCCATTTCAAATTTAATCTATTTTCAAACAAATTATGGTATTGTTTTCATACCTTTTCTTTTACTTGTTGGGTAAGTTTCTTTTTTTTATTCATATTATAGTTATTGTTGTTTTTATGTTTAGTTATTTTCGTCCAGCAGCAATACTTTTAGATCTTTTTGTTATTGCTCTTCTCTTGGTTGTTCATTTCTATTTAACACGTGAGAAAACAATAGTAACAGTTCATTTTCGTAATCGTCCAATTCTTATACTTATACTTCTTCTTATTGCTGCTTTTATGATAATCAGAATGTTTAGTTCTGTTTGGGTATTTTTAGTTGGTATTGTTCTACCCTTAACATGTAAGTTATAATAGATAATATTGTAATTTATTTTATTATTTTATTATGAAATTTAGTAATTGTTATACATGCAACAGTTCGTAAACCATCAATTCAAAATAAAGCAACGAATGCAGTTGAAAATCTTTCATTACAAGCTTCTCCAATGGGTCTTGTACTCGGTTGGTTAGGTTTAAAATCAATTGATGATCAATCAAAATCATCAACGCAAAGCAAATAAATATTTACAATTATATTTTCCTATATAGTTTTTGTTTGTTTGTTTTGAAATTATGCAACGAAAAGATTAAGAAATAGGTTTTTCATTTTCTTTGGATAGCATTGTTCTTGTTGTTCTGTAGTCTTTTTTCTTCTATATGGTGATCTGCTTTTTGTGTTAGTTTATGGTGTTGGGTGAATTTCTTTTTTCTCATAATCAAGCTTTATATCTATATTTTATTTTCGCTATTTTTCTGTTTTCAGAGGATTTTTTGCTAGTAGAAGTTTATTGTTTTTTGACATATTAAAACATGAGTGAATTAAAATTCGTAAAATGCATTCTATTTCTTCATAGAATTGAATTGTAAAAATTATTTTGTTTGTTGTCTGAAGCGCTAGAATGATTCCATATAGTAATTCAAGTAGGGGAAAAACTGTTTTCAAAAAGAATATAAGAAAACAAATATGATTATCAGATTTTTTCGAAGATGAAGGTTCTAGAAAGTCAATACTCTAATTTTTCAGCACTAATAGCTTACGATCTCTTTCAGTTCATTGCATATTGATGGTGTTTGCATTTTCTCTATTAAATTATTAGTTCTATTCTCGACAAACTATGTGGAGAATACTATGGAATTCTCTGAGATAACATTGAGAAAAATTGACTTTGTCATATCTCAGGTTATTCATAGCCATCATTTCAACTGCTTTATATATAAATTACGGTCATCTGAATCTCGAAATATTTTATTAGTTGATCATCATTTATTAAAATTTTCGATCACATCGTGTTGACAATGGATCTCATTGAACAGAATAAAAAATAAAGGTAGACTAGGTTTTTCCGTATTCATTTCTTTGACTTATTTTTACAAGTATCATTTTACTGTTGGAATTTTTACATCTGAATAAATAATTTTGAGAAGTAAATAAAAATATTTGCGTATCTGAAAGTTTTCTCTATCAACATGAATAGATTCGAAGGCTTCAACAAAACTGGTTGGGTGAAAGTCTACGAAGAATCAAGACTCCTAAAACTAGCTTTTCCACTTCTCCACGACCTCCCTTCATCGAATGGCATTTAATTTACAAAAAGTTCAAGAAGAAATGTTCTTTTCTTTTTATTGACACAGATCCTCATCGAAGCAGTTTTACGAAAGTCTTCGAATTTCTCAATCATGTGTTCGTCATTATATATATATATATATCGAATGAAACAGCAAAGTTGAAGTGACATTATGTTTGTTTTCATAGCTCTTATAATAACGGGTGCGCCGAAAGTTTTGAGACAAAATGTTTGTCCACTTTTCACCACCTCAAAAGTATTCTAGATGAATGCAAAAAGGTGGATGAGGATCAGAATTTAATGCTCTTTCCGAATATGAGTTCAGAAATTCTATATCTATTATTGTAAGGGAGAAGCAAGAAAATCTTTGAAAGGCATAAAAAAGTAGTCTGGACAAAATGGTTGAGTCGAATCATCTGGACAATATTCTCTTTATTTTTGCCCTACGTAAAACTATTGTAGACGAATGAAAACTACAGGTTATGATCAGAATTTTGTGCTCTTTCTGAATATGGGCTCAAAAATTTTGTATTTGATTTTGTACGAGAGTAGTGAGACAATCTTTGAATATGCCCGAAAATTGGATTGGTTAATGAACACATCGGCATTTTTTCTTCTGTGAGTCCTATGCGAGGATGCTAAAAACGGTTGAGTATGGTAATTTTGTAGAGCAGACAGTCCTCTACAAAATGAGATGTCGAACTCCAATATAGCTTTTATACAAATAAAATTATAGACATTTTCTGAGAAGCTATTTTTACATGACATGGATTTTCATTAAAAAATCGTTTTTTCAAAAACGAGGGTAATAAGGAAACGAAAATTTAGATGATTTGTAAGAAAATAAAAAGAAACTGAAATAGCCCATTTTGTAGGGCAGAATTTGCTCTACAATCTGATATATGAACCAAAGTTACAACATTAAGTTTCGAATTAGAACAGTAAAAATACAAAAATGTACAAAACATATTTTTGTCCAAACTAACTTTCAAAGCAATTCAATGATTTCCTCATTGCTTCCAAACAAAAATAGGCACAGAATTTCTGAACTCATATTCGGAAAGAGCATTAAATTCTGATTCTTGTCCACCTTTTTTCATCCTTCTAGAATACTTTCGATGTGGTGAAAAATGGACAAACATTTTGTCTCAAAACTTTCGGCCCACCCGTTATGCACATAAAGTTTCCATTTCGATTTTTTATAACTAGCGAAATGTCTTTCTAAAATTTATTTCTTAATCTGAATTAAAATAATATCACATAAGCAAAAAAAAATACAAATAAAATTTATTATTCAAAGCCACCATTCAACAATATCCTCCAAATCATTACTCAATGGTCTAATCATATCATGAGCTGGTGGATAATAAATAGTTGGTCTTATTGGATATTCTCTTCCATGTTTTCGAAAGGCAACACGAATTTTATCTCGACTTGTTACTGGTTCTTTCCAATTTGTTTCTGGTGTATCATCAGGTAAATCATGTCGAAGAAATGATAATTCAGGTTGAAAAAGAATATGACAATAATTTTTCGAACCATGAGCATAACGTGGATGTGTTTCAGGATAATGTGGTGTAAATGTTGTTATAAAAAAAGTCACACGATCAAATTCAAATACCCAACCAGTTTGTCCAATACGTGATGGTGTAACATTCATACAATGACGTTTAACTGGATCATGATCCGAAAGAAAACGAAGAATTTGTTTGAATACTTGACCAAAATCCTTTTCGAATGAAAATGATAAAAAATTTCAATTTCAATAAAAAAATTTTTTTAATTTACTTCAAGAGTTGCCGTTAAATGATTATGAGTAATTTCAATCAAATAACCATCAAGAGATATGTCTTTCACAAATGCACAAAAGAGAATAAAACTTGGTAACAATCTATTTGGTAAAAAAAGAATAACACAAAACAATTTATTCAAATAACTTATAGTGCGGAAGTCTTGGCACAAACGATTCACTCTTGAGTCAGAATTAGAATTTTTTTTTGTCGAGTAAGATTGAATACCTATCGGTGAATACTGTGAAAAAGTAAAATAACGTTTTGGCTTAGTTCTTAGTTTGTGTCTTGGAATAGATTCAACTCAACAATATTCTAGATCATTGTATTGCATACAAAATAAGATATTACAATAAACGAAATCTTATCTATATGTTTTTTCTAAAGAGTTGATTTCTATGGAAACCAGCATTGTAGAAAAAATCACTGTTTTAAAAGTTTTAAAATGTGCCAGAAAAGTAAAAACTAATGGTAGTTGTTCAATCTTACATTAGAAGGAAATTCTAAATACATATTTAGAAAGACTGAATTCTGATTCTAATTAATTGTCTTTAAGGATTGCCTCAATAATCTAATTTTGACAAGATTCATGAGATATTAATAAAACTGTGCATAGATATTCGACTTATGAAAAATATATCACAACACCATATTTTACCATTCACGGAATTTCAAAGAATCGAGTTACTTTCATTTGAAAGATAACTTTTATCACTTAGAATCACAAAAAGAAGTTTTTTTAATTTTATTTGTCGGATTATCGAAACTTTAAAAAAATCCTAGTTCATTTCTTTTCTGCGTAGTGAACTATGTCGATTCCGCTATGAGTTGTGGCAACATATGATTTTTCTGAAAGGATGCACCTTGAAGTGATCGAAAAATCAATGAATATTTTATGTCAAGACTTTCGTATCATAAATGATAAAATTAACAAGATTTTTATTTGTATTACCGTTCACAATTTTCTTCAATTGATACATTTTCAAGCCAATGAGGTGCATTCCAAAATCGTGCTCGTTTAGCAAATATACAGTCGGATTTATTTTGTATTTGATGAAATTCATGTGGCATCGATGATTGACTTACATTGAAAAAATGTTCATATAAAATTTGTTTTGCATGACTAATACATATATAAAAATCATGAAAAACAATAAAGAAATATTCGATACATACGCAATTGTTGTCTCCGATAAATTACGATCATTAGTAGAAAATTTAATTTCATCTTTTGATTGTAATGAACCACGTTTTTTAAGAAGATAATGTGTACCTATAACAAAATATATCAATTAGAATCATTTCGTTGATATTTGATTTTTATTTTTATTTTAAATAACACATCTACATTCTAATTAATAAGACAAATATGTTCTTTCTCTTTTATTTTTCTATTTTTTGCATCTTTTTGTTTTTGTTGTTATTTCTACTGTCTTCTTTGTAGTAATTGTTGTTGTAACAGATGATGCTTTTTGACCAATTGGTATATCATAATGTACATTTCCATGAAGTTTTAATTCTTGTTGACATTGTTCAACAATATCATCTGATAAATATTCACAGACAAGATCAAATGCATGTTCTTCATCTTTAACATGTTTTTTAAGTCGATCAATTCTATCATGAAGCCATACGATTAAATTCTCTTGATTTAATTTAATTAATTGTTTTTCATTATCAATATTACAGATTGAATGAAGTTTTTCGATGATAAAATCATCATCTAATTCGAATTGTTTAAATGAATCGTTTATAATTGTTGTTATTGGAACAAAATTTGTTCGAGCATGAGACCAAAGTGAAGGTAAAAGTAGAAAGATTAAATTAATTGGAGTAATTATATACAATGATCCATCTGGTAGCACATGTTCATCATTAATAAACCAACTTGAATGTGAACGAGTACATTGAATAAGTTCAAAGATTGTTTTAGATTGATGATCAATAGCATAAGATTGTTTCTGTTTTGTACGAGGATGAGAAAATTGTATGAAATGAAATTGTTTAATATCAATTGGTACAAGACGTTTATCAACAATGAAAACACGATCAGGTATTAGAGTAGATGAAGACATCTGAAAATAAGTAGATCATTTCAATTAGACTTACCAATAAGAAGAATAGCAGCTAGTATTGATTTAATATTTATATGAATAGCGAAAAGAAGAAATAAGGCAAGTGATGATAGTCGTAATCCTGAAACCACATTATCTGGTAGAATTAGTTGATACATATCTGAAATGGATATCTGTATTCTTTTTTTTTCATCTCAAGTATCTATTGATCGATTCATTTTATCATCGACAAATCAAAAGAAAAAAGATCTGTGTTTACGCAGTCTTTTTTGAATGCTTTAGTCTAATTTACAATAAACGATTGAAATAACAGAGCAAGTACAATGGGGAAAGAAGTTAAATAAACTACTGTATTGTTCATCTACAACGTCGACAACTGAATCATGTCAATCAAGTTTATCCAATAGAAAAATACTTTTATTCACGTCAGTATGAATCATTGCATGCCTTCAAACCTGACTGCGACGACCATAAAATACCATATTAGATCCATGAACATAGAAAAATTATTTAACTACTTTTAGGATAATATACTGTTGGATTAATGACAATCAATATATTTAACCTTGAAAAATCTCTGATGTATTGTAGTACCTTTCGAGCTGTCATCAACACAACATACAAATTATTTCATATTTTCTTGTCTAATTCTTCTAAACCGCAATAATTTCAAAATACATTAGATTAATATGTATCATGTTATACATTTCTAAAAATAAATCAGTTTAGCATCACCTATTTTATAAAGTTACAATTTTCATCAAACAGATTCTATTTTCATTTGGTTGAATGAATGATGCATAACAATATTATTTCAAAACAGTAAACTTAATCATTTGAGTGTTGCCCGAACTAATCACTATATTGCTCTATGCATGATTTGAGAGTGGCATGGATGAAGTGCCAAAGCAAAAAAATTAGTTTTTCGATAAACAACTATAAAATTTTATTGAAAAATTCACATATAGACGCTAACGATAGCTTATTTTCTCTATAAATCAGATATGGATGAAGAAAAGAAGTACATCTACACTCATTCCATAAAAATTATTTAGAACTTTTATGTTGTTTTTTTTCATCATTTCGTTTGTTCTTTCAATATTGTATTGGCTCCAAGAAGAGAAAACCTAAATATAAAATGTGAGATCATTAGATGTCGATGATTAAATACTTAATTAAATGATGCATGCACATTTGGGTATACAAGATATTGATCTATGTTCATTAAGTGCAACGTATTAAATCATATAATGTTTCATTCTGAGAAAAGTAATCTTTTATATTATGATTATTTACTCTGCATAGTCCATAATAGATTATGAAGAGCTATCTTTTTTGATTAAATTAAAATCTTTAATGAAACTAAGGAGAGATTAGCAACTTTATATGCAGATAATACGTACGCATATGCAAACAGTTTCTTTATTCAATTACTGTTCTCGATAATAAAATTTCTACGATCATTTTTTTTCTTGAATTCTTTTAGTACATGAATCGATACAATTGACTTCATGAATCGATAGCATATTTTGGAAATGGTTACATAGAATCATTCATAAATACATAGATTTGAAATCAAAAGGCGAATATATTTCAATAAATGATATCAATGAAATAATAGATATTATTCATTAATGTTAAAATATAAAGCAGATATTTTCATTTGGCTTATAGATTCAAAAGGTCCATGGGAAATACCTGAATTATTTTTATGTTTTAAACAAAGTGATACTCAAAATAGTTGTGGTAAAGTATTGAACGAAGATGAAATATGAATTTGCATATCTCCATCAAAATTTATTATCAATAGTAGTTTCAAACAGACATCGAGTTTGCACGTTGATTAAAAGGAAATAATCATCAAGTTGAACTTTATTAATGGAACGTGATCGATTGTTACTTCTACTTATATTAATAATAAACCTTTGTTGGATCGGTTGAGTGATTGCTAATACTCTAGTTTTTATTGTTTTTTGATGAATATGAATGAAAATTAAAAGAGAATGCACTCTGCCGTCAAGAATAATTGAAGAGCTTAATAAAAATATCAAATACAGATAATATAAGAAAATCTTTCTGAACTTTATCTACAAGTATCAATATAGCTTCACACATTCAAACGTTAATTAGAAGACCAATGATAAAATTAATTTTTAAAATATTACACTTTCACAAAACTATTGTGGCCATGTTTTGTTTCTAATTTTATTCATAATTATAATTTAAAAATAGGCAAAATATCTTTACTTGCATTGGCATACGTTAAAAAAAGCTTTATTACAGCTTTTTCTCTTCACTTATTTGATACCATCGGCATTATTACATTTAAAAAAACAACGAATTTGCCTTCTACCTACTTTCATCAACACACATCATCATCAGCCATCTAAAGTTGTCGTTCTCGAAAGAAAAATCCAAAATACAATATTTTTTCTTTTATCTTTTTCGTTTGACAAAAAAGTGCATACACACACACTGCGTCATTTACTTTTTGACTAAAAATAATAAAACAAGCATAAAACCGGTTACTTTCAGGCAGCTGAAGCAATTGAAATTGAACAACAACTGTTGAAGCACGTTATCGGGGAAAAGTGAGTGTTTTTATGAGCCACGAAAATGGCCTATGTTTCGATTCAGGTCTTACTACATTTGAGTTTCTCATATCTTGAGTGGTATGAATTAGTTAGTTTAACAAAGTTGAGTGTTCCAAAGAAAAGACATGCTCAGTAATAGATGTTTTCTATACAATAACAAAAAATTTGCTACAATCTACACGTAAGTCTTGTAGCAGCAAGATGAAGTATATGATTCACAAATACGTTCAAAGCACTCAAATTTAAGCACGAGAAAGAAGACTTCAAGAAGACGAATGATAGTCCCATTTGATAAATAGTTTATCGTAGTGTTAGTTAAACTAGAAGTATTATAAGTTCAAGCTACCTATCAGATATTATAGAGGGTGTGGATATGGGTATGGTGGTGTGGATGAGTGTGGCTGTGGTTGTGGGTGCTAGTGTCCATTCCCTGTGCCACAATATACGCACCCACACACACGCACACCCCACATCCACCTGCACCCTCATCGCGGTATATGCCAGACAATTTTTCATTCTGTGACAGTGTCCACAATCGTCTGCAACTTCGAATGTATGTGTGAACTGAATAATTGATAAAAGTATTTATCGGATACGCTTCTTACTTTGTTTTCAAGACAATTTAGTGTAATAATCAATCTTTGAATAATAGATATTTCTCTGCTTTTACCAAAACAAAATAAGTCCATTAATAAAAATAGTGATGGAGATTATTGAAAACTGTTAACAATAGATATTCATTATTCTGAATTTCTCAATTATAACATGTATTGGTCTTAAAAGAAGAAAATCTCGAATTCTATATTAATTGGTAATTTTATCGAGGCACAAACAGAATTAACTGGAAAGCATATATTTCTTGTTGATAACATTTGAATGAATTTTATTGATATTTGATTTATTTCTTTGACGTGAAGATTTTCGAAGAATCGATATAGCTACGATCAATATTGAAAATTTTCAAGGATGACAAATAGGCGTCATAATCCAGAACAAAATCACGATCTATAAGTTGAAATCAATTTTTTCTGTCGATCGATCGTCATTTGGTTTACAGGGTAAATACCGACAAACATATTGACTCTATATAGGAACGTGCGAATCTATTCAAACGCTATCATATATTGCATATCATCGGATTACATTCAATCAACCTAAGTGAAAATTTAGGGGAGTAATTAAAAAAAATGTCTTAGGAATATCCTTCAACATAGATTGGACTAAATTCGAAACCAAGAACAGTAGTTTCGTCCATATTGAGAAAGTACGATAATAATGAATACATCATTAGATCATAATTTAGCATTTGGAAGTTTCAAATCTATCGACAAAGATCAAGAATTATTTCGATCTGTCTACTAAAATAATATTTTTGATCGCAATTAGATAAAAGATGCCATCGTTATGCATGAATACTCAAACCAATTAAAAAATATCCTATTATTTATCTTATATTGCATTATAAAGTTCTTGAGTTTTATTAAAACTCCAATGTGTATGATATTTTCTTAGTTTATTACCGGAATTCAAAATCCATTATAGAAAAAGCTTATCATATTCATAAGCGTATCTATTTCAGATAACGCAATAACATGTCTGACGAAGATAATCAACAAAGGCTTTGGCAACTAAGCGAAGATTATAACAGATGCTGCGACAATAACGACTCCGATGCGGCTGATATTGCGAAATATGACATGGAAAAATGCATTGAAAACTCATTCTGTTACACACAAACCCCAACCACCAAATCTGATCAGATCCAACCAAGTCAGGACCTGCCTCACTGCTACCCGACTATGCTATCACCCGACCGGATCCCACCTGACATAAAGTATGTTTTTCGTGACTAGATCAGACTCGAGTTGGACACTAGGCAAGGGTCTCCTGGGGCTAAGCTAAAAGTTTCTTAAACTTCCCAAGTTGAATTGACTTCGAGATTTTCCTTGTAAAGCAAAGTCTAAGTTCGCCTATCTTTCTCATCTTGTTCACTCGACCTCATAGCAAGCTCTAACAAAACTAGACTAGTACCTACGCCAAGCTTATATACTGAGATTCTTAGTTTTTTTCATTTTGTCCCAAGCTTTAACCACGCCCTAGATCTGTATGTGCATCATAACAACAGTTATCTACCAAATTAG